TTGTTTGTTTACCAAGACATTAAATGAAAACTGTGAAAGTCATTAGATGAAATGACAGTTTGTTTTCAGATCTCCTTGAGTTTAATATGGGTTTGGTGTTTGGGGTTTTTGGGGTTTTTTTCTTACTCCTTTTTTAGTTGTTTCCTTTGGCAGATGGAGACTATCTCATGTAGTCCCTCCTACACACTTCCCTTTTCCTTTCATCTCTCTTTTTCTCTTATAATAAGTTTTTCTTCTTTAGTTAGAAAGTCATGTTTTAAATGTCCGGAAGAGTAGTCATTGTATTGTATCAAGTATTTAACACATGCTGCCTTTCTTGTTGTGGTTTACATATAAATGGCAACATTGTGCTAATCAAAACTAACATAAGCACTTTCTCTCTCTCATTGTCATTGTCACTGCGACTCATAGCTGACCCTCCGGAAGTTTTCAGAGGCCATAAGTCTCAGGAGAGGCGATTGCCCATCTTTTTCCTTCCAAATCGCTGGTGGACTTGAGTCAGCTGCCTTTGGGTTAGCAGTGCGTCTCCTTAGCCACTAGGCTACCAGCTCTCTGTACTTCATATAAAACCAAATATAGTAAAGTACAAGTACACTTAAAAAAAAAACAAGTACACTTAAAAATTCAAAATTGGAATCAGTATCCCTACCGATCCTACCTCCAGAGATACTTCTTGTCTTTTAATCTGCTTGCTTTCAGAAAGGGGCTCTGATGGAACAAGTAGCACATCAAGCTGTTGTCATGCAGTTTATCATGGAAATGGCCAAAAATTGTAATGTGGATCCAAGAGGATGTTTTCGTTTATTCTTCCAGAAAGCCAAAGTAAGTAGCTGTTTGTGATTGTTAAATGGGGAGATTAGGCCAGTTAGGACCTGTTTAGTCCATGTGCATCAAAAGAAGTCATGCAGCCAGAGTAAATTCCATAGGTTTCACAAGAAAAGAACTCTATTGCTGATTTCATGTTCACTTATAATTAAGGGAGGTTATGAGAAGCTGTCACGTAGTATGTGTGTAAAATGAGATGGTTCAAAGGAAAGTGTGGACTCAGGAAGTGAGTCGTCTTCAGTCACTGCTCACTCAGCAAGCGTATACCTTCCAGTCACGCGTGGCTGTTTGAGATGTTGTGGATACAGGGTGGAGTAAAACAAGGAAAGTAGCTCTCCTTTTGCTGTGGACCTTTCAGTTTAAAAGGGGAGGCAGGCTTTTATCATGAGAGATAGGAAACCACCTAAAAAGTTTAAAATTAGTATAGAAAAAATGATGCAGCCATAAAAATTACTTTTATGAAAACATTTTAATGATCTGATAAAGTGCTTATGTATAAAGTCAAAAGTGATCTACGTTTTTGTATACAGGGTAATGTCAGCTAGGTTAAAAATAGATACGGTTAGGAAAAAGATTAAATACCATTTCACATTCTCCAGACTAGTAATTATTTAAAGTTACTCAAGAAGTAATACGGGAACAACTCTCATTCATTGCTGGTGGCAGAAGAGATTGAGACAGGTACTTTGGAAAATTACAGGTGCATAAACAATACCCAGAAACTCCACTAGGTGTAAGCCCTAGAGAGTAGGTTCGCAAATGCTTTTTCAGGAGCACTTCATCAAAATTAATCAGTCTCGTAATAATATGTTGTTAGGTGTTAACTGGTCAACTGTGACTCACAGCGACCTACGGACAACAGATTGAAGCAATGCTTGGTCCTTTGCCCCCCTCATAGATCTTGTTGTATTTGAGCTGTTGTTTCAGGGACTGTGTCATTTCATTGAGGTCATTATTTTTCCCTACCCTGCTACTTCACCAGACGTGATGTTGGTCCTTTCTGATAGCATGTCCAGAGAACTGTCTTCCTGGGAGCTGCACTTGTACCAAGGCAGAGTGTTCTCCTGGCAGTCCCTGATATAGTCAGCATTCTTCATCAACACCATTATTCAAAGGCAGCAGTTCTGCTTTGGCCTTCCAATTTATTATCCAACTTTTGCCTTACTTTGATGCAATTGAAAATCCTTGGTTTGGATTAGGGACGCCTTAGTCCTCTCAGGCTTTGGGTTTTTCCCCCCTTCGAGGATGTCTTTTGCAGCAGATTAGCCCAGTGTAATATGTTACTTGATTTATTTTGACTGTTGCTTCCATAGGCATTGACTATGGAGCCAGGAAGCCTGTCATTCTTGACAACTTCAGTCCATTCTCCATTTCCTAGGAATCTGCTGTTCGGTCCACTCGTGAGGGTTTTTGTTTCCTTGCTGGTAAAGTGTAATCTGCAGTAACCGCTATATGAATGCTTTGCTCTTCAGGCCCTCTTTGCTTTCATCAGACAAGGTTGTGTCACCTGCCTAGTGCCGGTTGTTGATCAGTCTTCCTACAATTCTAAAGCCATATTCTTCTTAATACTGTCCGTCTTCTCAGATTATTTCCTCACAGAGTAAATAAGTATGGAGAGAAGATCCGACCTGATGACACATTCCTGGTTTTAAAGCTTACAGTCTTCCTTGCTGTATTTAGATGACTGCTTGGTAACTAATCATATATAATACTAAGACGTCATTTGTCTTGTCCACTCTGATTTTCTCCTGAGTATATATTTGAAATTTGTGTAGAAACAGATGTGAGAACCCCACAGTCACCTGTTCAGCTAGACATTAAAGATACATTTCCATTTGCAAACATGGAACTATGACATCTAACTTCTAGTTTTACCATTCCGAGTCCTCAGCCTTAGTTCCTAGCAGAGTAGCTACTGACAGTTAGAACCCATAAAAATAGACCTCTGGGGGTATTCAGTAAAAGGGTCTTGTAACAACCAGAAAGTCTGAGAACTGCTGTCTTAGCCAAAGTGTTGCTTACGTACATTACAGGCCATGCTGTGGACCACCAAGAAAACAGAGTTCTTTCTTAAAGAGGATGAAACCAAGTTTCTCCTTGGAGGCTAGGATTTTGAAGCTCCATCTCACATACTTTTGGGCATGTGAACCAGGAGAGACCGGTCCTTGGAGAAGGACATCATGCTCGGAATGGTGACGGACAGCACTGGAGAGGGAAACCTCAGATAAGATGGATTGATACAGTGACAGGGGCAATAGGAGTTGGTGTGTCAGAATTAGTGAGACTGGCTTAGGACACGGCAGGGTTCAGACTGCTGTACATAGAGTCGCTATGGGTCTTAGGTGACACGACAGCACAAAACAAGGTTTGTGGAAAAACTGTTCATGGTAGCAACACAACTGGACTGAATGGATGTGTGTGTCCGCGGTCAATGAATAAATGGTAGTGTCTTCATTTGAACCAGCATTAACTTGGGTGAACAGAGAAGGGAGAGAGTGAAATGGCACAGATCATCTATTTAGTATTCCTCCATTTTTATAAAGTCCAAAACAGACCTAAATTAGATATTATTTAAGGGTGTGTATATATGTAGTTTCATTTGTATTTGATAAGCTGGTGACAAGGGACTAAGACACAGTCTTCACAGTAGTAGTCTGAGAGATGCTACTGACAGCTTGAATCTGAAGGCAGTGGTGGTGATCTGGTCCCTAGAGTGCACAGTGGGTACGAGAAGCGGTCTTTGCTTATTACTGTTATGGTTGAGCTGGTATTTAATTGGATATTATGGTTTGGTTAAAATATGTGTGTGGTGTTTTTTTTTGTTTTTTTTAATATTCTTTAACCATGTAGATCTGTAAGTTACTGAAGTCTTCATTCTTGACTCGATGTTTTATAAATTCAGCAAAACAATCTTTATTGATACTTATTTTGTGTCAAATGCTATTGCAAGCTCTTTGCATGGATTAACTCATTGAATGAATATAGTATTTTGTGAAGATTATTATCCTTTATATTGTTGTTGTTGTTCTGTGTTGTAGAGTCGCCCGCAACTCATAGCAACCCTGTGTACACTAGCTCTGAACCCTGCCCTATCCTGCGCCAATTTCATCATCTCCAGCAGACCTAATCCCATTATCCCAGTCAGAGTCATTCCATCTCATTCTGTGTCTTCCTTTACTCCACTGGCCCTCCACTCTTGCAAGCATAATATCCTTCTCCAAGGACATCCTTGCCTCAAAGGAGCAGCATCCTTTCCACGACAGACCTATTAGTTCTCCTGGCAGTCCACAGTATGTTCAGCACTCTTCTCCAGCAACACAACTCAAAGGCATCGATTCTTCTTCTGTCATTCTTAGTCATTGTCCAGCTCTCCGATGCATAGCAAGTAAATGCAAAGACCATGGCCTGGATCAGGTGCACCTTAGTCTCCAGACTGACATTATTGTTATTCAGTATTCTGGAGAGGTCTCTGACAGCCGACTTTCCCAATACAGTTCATCTTATGATTTCCTTACTGCTGGTGCCAAACAAGCTGAAGTTGTTAACAATCTATCATGAAGTTGTCAATCAGCCCATTGGTAAGATTGTTTTCTTGACATTGAACTTGAGTCCACATTGAAGGACTGCAGTACTTGACCTTCTGCAGCAAACGCCTCAGGTCTTCCTCTTCAGCAGGCAAGGTTGTGTCCTCTGCATAACACAGGTTATTGATGAGAGTCTTTCTCCGGTTCTGATGCTACATTCCTCATAAGGTCCAGCCTCCCGAATGATTTGTTCTGCATAGATTGAAAAGGTATGGAGATAGGGTGCATCTCCGACACACACCTTTCCTGATCCTGAACCATGCAGTGTCTCCCTGCTCTGTTCTATTATTTCCTAGTCTGAGTATAGGTTTTGCATGAGTTAGGAAAAATAAATTGGTCAGATTACCCTTTTCCTAAAGCGTTCCGTAAGCTCAACTTTTGTTCTGCTTACTATCTTCAATAGTTTGCTCCATAACCATTTCAGAAGGGTTCTTTTTGGATAGGAATCTAATTCTTCCTGTACATGCACATGAGTGCCACGTATTGTATATAATCAAGGCTATCATTCCTAAATCCATGGAAGGATAGGAGAGCAGCACTGAACATTTTCTGCTGCTTTTATTTACATGTTAATAATTCTAAGTCAGCACAATATAAACTTTATTAAAGAAAAATAGCATTTTAAAGAAATGAGCAGTTGAGGAAAAAGGCAGGCTTTTTACCAAGAGCCTTCCAGACTCAGTGCAGGTGTGCCGAGTGCCATTGCCCTGTCTGTGGAGGATCCCGAGAGCTGGCTGCTGTCATTACAAAGTTTGGATGCTTAATTTTGCTCTTTTTCTACATCGTCAGATGACCAAAAGTTCTTTCCCATCATCATAAACCATTATACTTTTTTTTTTCTTCCGAGAATGTTGAAAAGAAGGCACCTGATTAACTAGATGCTGAGTTATTCCATACTCCGGTTGAACTTTGGACTTTAATTTGTGTTCATAGCTTTCTATAAAACTTTGTAAGATGGGAAGATAGTGGTGGGAAATCCCCAGAGATAGAGATAGGGTCTAAGAATGGACAGGAAAATGACAGAAAACCCTAAGAGATTAAGCTACTGTTTGAGATCCTATTAAAGATCTTGCTAAATCAAAGGAAGTCAAGAGAAAATGTGTTTCTTTTGTCAGAGGGGTGTGTGCCAGGGGGTATTTGTTTTATCTGCTGAAGGACATGGGAGGGACACCAACCAGCAGCTGTTGTGCACATCTGCACCAGGCAGTTCTCAGGAACCTGGCAGGGATCATGAGCCTTTGCTTTTTAAACCGTGGGTTGGTCTTCCTCCACTACAGAGAGGACGACATAACGTTAAATGGACTGCATGGTCCTGAAGTCTTGAACACCCTTCGTTTGTTTTCTAGGCAGAAGAAGAAGGCTATTTTGAAGCATTCAAAAATGAACTTGAAGCTTTCAAGTCAAGAGTAAGACTCTGTTCTCAGTCACAAAGTTTTCAGCCTATGACAGTTCAGAATCATGTTCTCCATTCTGGTGTTGGATCTATAGGTTTATTAGAATCTTTACCACAGGTAAGTTGGGAAGGTAAACATTTGTTTCATAAATTTATGGAATCCTCCTTCTTTGGGATTTTTGCCCTTTTTGTATGTACTGTCAATGTGACCATTTCAAGGCTTCTTGCCCGAGAAGTTAGCCCGAGTTTCTCCCATGTCCTCCTTTGGTGTAGAACCTCCTCCCTGCCTTAATCTTTAGAGACACCCCAGATCCTATCTCCTTTCCGTTTAGAAGAGATGAGTTTGTACCTGAGCTTCCTTAAGGACACAGGCTACCTGTGGGTCATCTCTGTCCTCCTTCCTGAAGGTGGCTGCTGTGGAACTGCATCCCCTTTGTTCATTTATTGGGATGAATTCATTTCCTTGCACATATCCAAGTGGCAGAGAAGGTAATTTATTGCTTGAGTTTATTATTATTCCCTTAAGTATGGCGGGTACCCAGTAGATCAGACATTGTTAGCACACATTAAAGTGGCTAATGGTAAACCACCAGCTATTTGGCGTCTTTGAAATTGTGCTCACGTAAAACCTCCTCCTAGACCAGGATGCTGTTGTCTGAACAAAACAAGGGAATACTGTGTGGTTTAAAATAAGTGAGTTAGGGATTGTACACCTGTTCAGTCTGTATGCTGAGCAAATCAGTAGAGAATCTGGACTTACTGAAGAAGAGTGTGGCCTGAGGATTGGAGGAAGACTCTTCAGTAACCTGGATTATGCAGATGACACAGCCTTGCTTACTGAAAGTGAAGAGGCTTTGAAATGCTGCAGAAGATTAAAGCATTCAATATAGATTATATCTCAACATTAAGAAGGAAAAAAATCCTCACAACTGGAACAATAGGCAGCATCATGATAGATGAGAAAAGAGTAAAGTTGTCAGCAATTTCATCTTACTTGCTTCCACAGTTAAGACTTGACTATGTAACAGTAGTCAAGAAATCAGAAGATGTTTCATTAAGGAAATCTTCTGTCAAGGACCACTCCAAAGTTCTAAAGAGCTAGGATGCCAGTTTAAAGACTAAGGGGAGCCTGATCCAAACCCTGGGCTTTTCAGTCACGTCCTGTGCGTGTGGAAGTTGGATAATGAAGAGGGTGGGGGAGCGGAAGGATTGACGTGTTGGGGTTGTGGTTTTGGAGAGGAGTACTGAATACCCATGGACTGCAACAACAACAAGAAGCACGTCTTATCTTGGAGGATGCGCAACCAGGGGGCTTCTTCAAAGAACTGGTGGTAAAACTGCCTCTCATTCGTTGGGCATATTGTTAGGAGTGATTAGTCCTTGGAAAAAGTCACCATTCTATGGAAAGTAGAGGGCCAGAGAGAGGCAGACCCTCAACAAGATTGACACAGTGGCCGAACCAGTGGGCTTGAGCTTATCAGAGATCATGAGGACAGCCCAGGATAGGACATGGTTCAGCTATGAGTCATTGTCACCTGGATGACACCCCACAACAGTGGTTCAAGATAAAACTGTGCTCCCAGAATAAAAACATGTCAAACAGAGGAGGCCGTTAGAACTGTGGTCTGCCTGAGACGATTTTGGTGGCAGCCCGTCAGCTCAGTGTTAGACCCTGAGCTAATTTAAGGGGCACTGTTGGCCAGTTTAGACTGTTACTTTCACAGGGAGAAGGGAAGTGTCCCTCAAATGGCGACATGAGAGCTCTACGAGTATTTTTAAACCTTATTAAAAGAACCTCAAATTTACTGCCTTCCAGTTGGAACAGAGTCCTAGTTGACCCTCCACTGGGTCTCCAAAGCTATCAAGTGAATTGCGTGGAAGGCGATTACCCATCTTTCTCCTCTCTCCCAAGGAGCATCTGGTGGCTTCGAACCACCTGGGAGGGCCTTACGGACTCTCCCAGCAGAGCTCCTTCCCAGGCCTGACAGTGATAGGAGTTGAGACGGTCAACATTGTGCCCTTCTGTCTGTCATCTCACCTGTCCACGTGTAGCCCGGAGAAGCCATTCAAGGACAACTGATCATATCAGCTCAGGCTAGAATGTTATTTCTCAGAGAGATGAATGAACAATAAAGGTCTGGTTTTTAAATAATTAGTAATGCCACCCTTTGCTGCAGAGGATGATAATGATGGCATGTGCTGCTGAGTCAGCTGACCGTCCAGCAAATATTGAGAGGTTGTAAATCACACAGGAGGAGATGGCCATCTCTCTCTTCTGGAGGAGGTGTAGATGCCAACTGCCTGCCTGTGGGTAGGCAGCATAATCTTAAAATACATTGATACAATAATTAAAAATATAATTCAGTTGTAAGAAGACAGGACCTTTCTTTTTCTTGCCTATACCATTCTATATAATCTCTCTATAGAGTAAGTGGTAATAATCTAGGCATTCTTCCTTGCTTTTCTTGGTTTGATGGTAGTCAGACTGGAAAGCCCCCTTCTGCCCTGTGTTCCCATGCAGGAAAACGCAACATGTGCAACGTAATCCTTACTTGCAAACCCTGACCTCACATTGGCTGTCATGTGCTGTTCTTCCCTCCGTTGTTTTCCAGAATCCAGCTTCTCCGCAGTGTTCTATCAGTACAGCTCTCTGCAGTCTCAACTCAGTGGTACATAGAGACGATGATGAACCCAAAATGATGGACACTGTGTGATCTGGCTTAGACTGAGAGGCCACGGACTGTTTTGTTACAGAAAGGAGGAACTTGCTATTTTCTTGACACTTTCATGGGTGCTGCACTTTATTTTTGTTTGGGTTTTGATGGGAGGGAAAATGAGTACTGAAACGTTTTGTATTTTTTTTCAAATGTGCTGCTAGTTTTTTGTTGTTTTGTTTTTTTGAAGAGAGGAGTGGTGGTACCATAACTTGCAGGAGGTTAAACTGGATTTTTTTTCCCTACTAAATTTGCCTTTATTGTTCCAATTTTGGAATCAAAGTATGAAAATCTGCAGATATTCCGTGTGTACAAGAACAGCTGGGTTCTTGGAGGCATCTGCTCAGCCCCTTGTTACACGGCGCTGCATGAGTCACTCTCTCCAGAGCACTTATCAGACAGACAGCACTTGGACCTCGAAGCAGCAGTCAGCTCCTGGCTTCCATCACTGTCAGAGCAGTAGATCATTAGTTGGTACTCTCCCAACCTGAGTGACAGAAAGGAAAAGTCTTTCCCCTCAAAAGACTACCTTTCTCATCTGGGCATCATCAGTTAAGTATTTGACAACGATATAAATTTGATATAAGACACTAAAATTTACCCCCAAATGTTCCTGTTATTGTTTGTATTCGTTAGTTGGCGATTTTACTCTCTGGACTGTTGAATATTAAGGGTTACAAATGGTACAGAAAGTAGTAAGAGCTGAGATTCAAAACCGAATCTGCTAGGATAGAGAACTACATTTACAGACAGGTGATCAACTTAAAGCTCCCTTGTTAACAGTCGAGGATCTCTCAGGAAGCAGGTTGTACAGGAATACCGAGGGCCTATGAGGATGTGCAGGATGAGGTGTTCCGCTCTGCGGTGAAGTCAGAGCCAACCCCACAGCACCTAACAAGGGCCTCTAGGAACAAGCGAAAGAAAGATCTAATGGTAACACTTACAGTTACTGCCTGTTTACTCTGATGTAGCCCAAGGCATTTTGGTGGTTTCTGAGTAAGGGAACTGTCAGCACTAACTGCCTCAAGCTGCCAGCTATTTACTTCAGACAGTTCAGTGACACTTACCCGCAGTGATGGCTTGTTACATTTGACTCTCCTCTCTTTAGCTTGGTCTCCATATAATTCACTTCAAATATGTCAGGATATTCAATGATTCACTTTATTTGGAATTAGATGACAGTGCTAATTATGCTATCCTTATTATTTGAGGATTCAGCTTCTGACTCCCAGGAATGTGAGCTCTGGCTCTGTGTGGGGATTGCCCTTGGCTCAGTGCCCTCTGACCAGTAGTGAACACATGGAGGGTGGCTAACCCTTGGGATTCATGTCTCAATCTGAGAAACCACACCTTGCTGAGGGACCCACAGGGGGAGCAGACATATGACCTTGGCCTCCTTTGCACCTTGTTTTAACTTAGTGAGGTGACTGGGCACATAGTAGCCATGAAATGGACTGGAATTACTGAATCATACTGCATCTGTAACATCACAATCTTCCCTGGTTTTCAGAATTAAAGTCTCTTTGTGCTTTTGATATAAATATATACTCTATAATAAATAATAAAATATTTGACTAATTTATATGGTAATATTCATCAGCCTGTCATTGTTTGCTTTGTATTTTGGGGTTTTTAACCAATTACCTAGTTCTGGAGCAAAACCTTCCTACTAGAGAGAAATGGACACGGGAATAGCATCCCCTTTCACACTGATGCTGGCTGAACCGTGACTATTCACTGCCCCCTCTCAGCATCCAGATTGCTCTGAGTGACATCCTGCCTCATTTACATCAGAGTGATTAATGGCTGAAGACAGTTCCTGACGGTCATGACTTTTTAAAAGCAGGAATTAATCTTCAAAATTTGGTTTTATTTCCTTTCAAAGGAAAATGCTTACTATTTTGCGGGCTATTTTGCGTGGGGTCACTAAATCCATCTTGGAAACTGCTGCCCAGTGCTTAAACACTCACTTTTATATATTCAGCAGTAGATGGGCTCCGGTGGCGTAGGCTGTAGTGTGTTTTGCTGCTAACCAAAGTGCCACTTACCTGCTGTGGTTCAGAACCACCAGCACCTCTCGAGGAGGATGATGGGCAGGCTCCTCCCATGTTCCAGTTTATAGCCTTGGAATCCCAGTGGGGAGTAGAGAGTCTCCAGGATGGAGTCACAGTTACTTAGAGCAGTAGATTGACATCTTTTTTCCTTTGGTAGAACTCCCACCAAGAGGAATTAACCCGTTTTCCATAATAATAATAATAGAGGACAGTAAGCAAAGGGGCCAGGATGCATATTCAGGTTAGACAGTTCTCCTTCCTTAAAGCAGCCTTGGAAAATCTAGACACATCTCTGATCATGGATAGTCTTAATTTGAAATAATGTAAGGGTTAAAAAAAGAACCTCTTTGGATGCTTTTCTGGTTCGTGGGAATGATCATTGGTGCTCATGCTTTTGTATGGCATGTGTCCCTTTTAAACCTTGTTACCCATCTGAAGTGAGGAAAAAAACCCAAAATTTTGTCACACCATTTATTCCTTGTTTGCTCATCAGCGGTGTTAGAAAGAAGACTGATTTTAATCATTTTGATAGAAAATAGACGGGTGGCATGCTCTTCCAGTTACACCATCAGTGGTGGGAACTTTACTGACTTTGACCCTCTTATGACCCTTGGGGCATAAAACTCCCACCACGTTCATCCTCTCAGGTCTGTTGGGAAGCTCCTGTCCCAGACATAGTGTATGTGCTGTGGCCTGACAGGGACTTTGAGAACTGCGTAAATCTGAAGGAATGAACCTCACCCCCAGTTCTGCTGCCAGAGTTCACTTGGAATATGTGTGTCTCCTATACGTTTATCAAGATCTGAATTACCCAGAAAAAGATTTCCCTTGATTGCAGATGCTTTCCAATACAGAAACATGGCATCAACAGAAAAGTCAAATCAGAAAAGAATCCCATCACGGAAGGGTCAAATCAGAAAAGAATGCCATCATGCTCGGGCTAGATTGCTGAGGCGCACTCCTCCTCAGCTCTAGCGGTGGAGCGAATGTTGGTTTTCAGTTACTCCAGGACCGATGAGCACGGGAAGATGGCAGCTCTTTGCAGCTCTACCACTACAGGCAGAGAGGATGCGGATTGTAAAGCATGGGCACAGGGCAGGGGGGTAGACGGGGGACATTCTCAGTCCTTCCACTGGCCTGAGGAGCTCACTGCTCCCTCTCATCTTACTAGGTCTTGCTTGAGTGGTGACAGAAATGTTATTTGGGTTGAGGCTAAGCTTTTAGTTGTTTTTCTGCTACATTTATGACGCAGCATTAAACTTTATGCATTCATTTTCCACCTATAATGGACATCTATAATGCATTGGAAAAGTCTGCTGTCTGAGACCTCTCCAGAGTACTGAAGGGCAACGATGTCAGGTTAGAGACTAAGGTGCCCCTGCCCCAGGCCATGGTCTTTGCAGTCACTTGCTGTGCATCAGAAAGCTGGACAATGCTAGGGATAACAGAAGGAGAATTGATGCCTTTGAGCTCTTGATGTTGGAGGACAGTATTAAATATACCATGGACAGCTAGGAGAACAAACACGTTCACCCTTGAGCGGGTGAAGTCAGGCTGCTCCTTGGAGGCATGGATTCTGAAGCTGTCTGACATACTTTGGACCTGTTGTGAGGAGGGATCAGTACTTGGAGAGGGACAATCATGCTTGGGAGGGTCAGGGACAGCACAGGAGAGGAAGACCCTCGATGAGTGGATTGATTCAGTGACTAGCGTTACGGGGGTAGACTGGCACAGGATCAAGCAGGGTTTAGGGCTGTTGTACATGGGGTTGCTATGAGTCGACGGCACCTAACATAATGGGCCTAACATCATGTGTGTCCTGTTAGAGGCCCTGCTGGGAGCAGCTCATCTGTCCAAATATGCACTTGTTTGCTTACTATGTAAGCTCCCTTTTTAGTGTTAAATCATGCCGTGTATGTGCTGTCATTTTAATTCTCTTGAAGTTTTTAATAAAATTTATTTTGTGATCTTAAAGTTTACAAAAAAGTTAGATTTTTTTTTCATTCATTCATTGTTGCATTTTATCCCCCTCCCTCGGTTCACTTTTTAAAAATATTGTCCTCTTTGTAGTTATGTAAGCTAACTTGTGGAGGCATACAAAGATGAATAAAAGTTGATCTCGAATTGCTTACCAATCTATTCATGACTGAAACCATTACAAACCTTGAAAAATTACTTGGAAGTTGGATCTTTTCTCAGTAGACATACCACATCATTCACTTTGTTTCTTTTACCACTATAATTATTCGTGCTGTTTATTCATTAAGCACATTCATTTCCTTTTAAAAACATGTTAGAATGGTTTAAACGCTTGGTGAAAATCCTCCTGAAGTGCAGCCTGACATGATCACTGCATGACCCCTTGCTGTGCGACAGTCCCAAGCGCACGGTTAGAACCACCACCTGCTCCACAGGCGAAGGATGGGCAGCGCCCCATGTGATTTCCTGTGGGTCGTTCCCAGCTAGACAGCACAACTCCACATATGGAAATGGTGTGTGTGATCAGCGAGCTGGGGAAAGAGAAGGGAAGTGGGCTCTGAGGCACACCGGCTTGTACCAGCAGCTTTGAGTACAGCTGGACTTTTGGTGTGGACGGTTTTATTAAGAGTTTAGGACAGTAACTCAATTGCTACAGTGGGAAGTTTATTTCTGCAGTTTATCACCACTGGGATGTTTTGTTTAAGACACCTTTTTAAAAAACTCAACGGCCTTGTGCTATCAGTTGCAATACCAGAGCAACTGAATAGAGTTTGAGGTCTGCAATTAGCTTGTCAGGTCAGTTTTGTCATTTTACTGGCGTACCATCGGATGCAGCTCTGTGGAAGTAGCCCAGAGCCAGTGTCGGAAAGCTGAGGCAGTATGTAAACTAGCTCAAGTGGAATGGAGAGCAGGAAATACAGTGGCTGGGTGGTGCTGACAGCTGCCGGTGTGTGTATCCAAGACCACTCCAGTTGTTGCTCCAGAAAACAGTGGGTTGAGGGTCTGTTGTCATCAGCTGCAAACACAAGTGCCAAGTGTTTCTCATCCCACACTGTAGCCTCTCTCCCCATAGGGCTGAAGTCCTGGCAGGCGCCTCGGCAGCACCGGGGTATGCAGGATGGCTGCTCCGTGTTGGCATTCTTTGGGGTGTCTGTGGTCATGCAGCATTAGAATGTTTTTGTTTATTCTAGAGCCAAGTCATTAAAGGCATTACCCCAGGCACGGATGAATGTACAAGACTCTGGGTTCACTTTTCCGTGGGGGAGGGAAGCTCACAGAAGAGGAAGAGCTGCCTGGCTCTCCCTCCCTAACAGCCTCTCCAGGTGTCAGGCATGGATTCAGTGCTGCAGCAGAAAAAAAAACACAAAACACCAAACCTGGAGGGTTTGGGGCAGAGGAACTGGATGGGGGCTGAGAAGCAAAGACAATTCCTGTGCACAGTTCTGGAATTCACTTTTATTAGAATAAAGATTAATACATGCTGCGTAATCTAGTGGTAATTTATAAGCGTAAAAGTACCAAGTATTTTTGGAAAGTATAATATTCAAATAAGGCATTATAGAAAGCTTTGTAAAGAATGAAACATGTACTGTAATCCTTTTTAAAAGCCTCAGTACTTTTAAAAGTACTAATCTTTTTGAAAGATCAGTAATGAAGGGAAAAAGAAAAATAAAGCCCAGTCCCTCCCCCCACAAAACACAGAAGAACCACTTTCAAGCATTTGTGTATTATGTGCCTAGGTCAGATTTTCAGACGGCTCTGCAGGGCCTTTTTTGAGGTGATTTAGCACCATGTAAGGAAGGGGAGAAGCCCTGGTGGTGCAGTGACATGAAGCACTCCCCTGCTCATGGATAGGCCAGTGGGTCAAACCTTCAAAAGAGAAAAATATGGCAGGCTACTTCCGGAAGCCTTGAGAGCCTCGGAAGCTCCACTGGGCAGTTCTTCTTTGTCTTACAGGGTTATTACCTTAAGTCAGATTCAACAGTAAGATCAAGGATCCCACTTACAGCACAGCACATACCAGGTGTCCTTGGCCCTGCAGGTCCTTTTGATGTGACACATAAAGACATCTCGCTGCTCCCCCCACTAAGGATGCTTGCTGCTGATGGGAACTGCCCCAGGCACGCACCATCCGTACGCTATGTTACCTAAGCCACAGGTTTACCCTTTCGTTTAACATCAAAAACAGAACATCTCAATGGCAGAGGGATCCTAATGCACACATCTCTTAACCTGAGTAAAATCTGAAAACCTCAAAAGTCCCATTTTCCACTAAAGAGAATTCAACTTTGGCATTCCCCAACTAAATAAATCCTCTCTTCAGTGCACAAGTGTTTTTCCGAAGAGAACCAGTCACTACAGTAGGGATTACCCTAAATGTTACATATGTTTTTATGGCAAACAGAAAAGTTCTGAGTAAATGGACGGTATATTTAACAAAATAAATAAAGAGTATATATGGCCGGTGTTTTAAGTTTCTTAGTTGAAGGCAACAGTGAATTTTTTTTTTTTTTAAATTTTCGAGACCCTCACAAAACATCATCATACAGTGCTTAGAAATGTTTTTGGCATCGGTCTATGCATATGCCTTTGATGAGACAGCCTGCTCAAATCACTACCGAGGCGGGTTTTTTTTTCATTTTCTCCAGAAAAATGGTCAAAACTTGAGACCAACTGACTAATCTTATTTTTAAAAAAATCAGATTACTATTAATTGCTCTTTTAATTTCTATCTAAAATTTAAGGTTAAGACATCACTGATATATTAGAATTGCACACCCATAAAAGGTAATGGAAGGAAACACAGGAGACCTTTTAAAAGGTAAATCTTAGTGTCAGACTCGTTTGGCACATATGCTTGTATCTAGGATAAAGCCAGGAGAAACAAAGACGGCATTTTCCAAGAATTCATTCATGCTGGCATCTGAGGAGGAGTTCTCCCCTCACGAGACACGCGCCTTCCTCATGGGGTACCTGAGGACTCTGGAACTTTCGTTTGCAGGAAAGCATATACGTGGGGCCAGATCTTGTTGGTTTCTGTGCCGGAGAACGTTTTCAACAATCCTTTTCTCCTAAAGATGGAGAGGGGGGAAAAAGATGTGAGTCTTCCGAATGAGCTGTTTTGGGGAGATTCTGTGAAGGATGAGGGCATGGATTAGGGGGCCTTACTAAGTGGGCCTATGAACCTAGATGTGGGTTTCATTCGTGTTCCTGTGCTCACAGACACAGTCACTGAAAAAAGCCCACTGCCACCAAGCTGATCCAGTGACCTTATCGGACAGAAGTGAACTGTCCCGTGGGGTTTCCACAGGTGCGCATCTCGCCCCACACAGGAGCACGCAGGGTTTGAAACAGCAACCTTGTGACTAGCAGCCGAGTGCTTGACCAGTGCGCCCCAGGGCTCTCCCCCAATGAACACAGTACATTCTCCTAACTACTTAACAAACGGTGCCTTACGGAAGCTTTTCCTAGCTCAGTTTTCCTTTGTCTTTGAAATAGCAGCCCAGCTTGCTCAGCGGGCAGATTTCCAGTGTCTGGTGGAACCTAGAACCCCGTCTTTAGTTTCCTCAGTCCACTCACCCATTTGCAAAGAGCTTTCCAATTCTCTCATTCTCGCTCCTTTTCACCAAATTTGTTCCTCTGCTCTCCCCTTCTGAATTTTAGTGCAGATAGGCCAAGTGTAGGTTTTGCTTTTTCCCCCAATCTTTTCTCCCATCGGCCTGGCTTGCCACCTACCAGGCTGCAGCTGGTCTACTGCAGTGTCGGCATTTTAAACACCACCTGGGGGGTTGTGCACGAGGGTCAGAACCGCTGTTCTCCCATCACACGTTAAATTCCTCTTGCTTCTCTCCCTCCCCTGTGTGGGTCATGTATGTCTGCACACATGGCAGTTACACACCTAAAGGCCACATGGAACCGCTGCTTGGCGCAAACTTCAAGTCCACCCAGAAGTGCATCGGAAGGAAGGCTTGGTGACCTGCAAGGTCACAGCCATGGGACCCCTACAGAGTGATGCTCTGCTCTGCAGCACCAGGGGAGGAAGAGGTCAGATTCGCCTGGGCAGTAGCTGGCTAATCAGTGCTTCAGGGTCCCTGGGTGGAGCCAACTGCTACGTCCACCCTGAGGTGCCTCAGAAGAGAGGCCTGGCAATCCACTTCTGAGAAATCGGCCACCAAAAACCCTGTGGAGCGCATTGCTACAGTGACACACCTGGAGTCACCAGGAGTTGGCCGACAGCACAGCAACAGACTTTGTGGTTAAGACCGCCTTAGGGAGCTCTGGTGGCCTAGTGGCAAGACGCTTCACTGCAATTCCAGAGATATGCAGTTTGAATCCACCAGATGCTCTGCTGGAGAAGGAGGGACAAGTTCCTCCTGTACCAGTCAGATATGATTTGACGGTACACACACACACAAATAATTTAGAAAAAAAAAAGACCACCTCAGAGCACGTGGGGAATGCTGGTTCATGACTCTCGAATCCCTGCGGGCCAGACCTCTGCAATCCTGACGAGGTTTTCCAAGGTTTCTCAGTTTGCACTATGCCTTTACAATCAGTTAATATTGCCACTGTTCTCTTGGTTAGAAACATCTAAGAAAAATCCTACATCACTCATCTTCTGCATGTTAGAGAAGCCCTCTGCCTTCCTGCCTCATAAATGGTAAGAGAATAAATTTCTGTTTGTTACAGCCATCCGCCCGTGGGATCTCTGTTCCAGCAGATGCTATAGACAGGTACCTAATACCACATAGTATACAGGTAATGAAGACAGTGGCCAACATGTGGCCCCAAGGCACGGAGTGCACACATGCTGCTAAAACAGACACAGCAGTAACGGGGTGGCCTCCAACCTCCCTCCCGGCGGTCCTGCTGGGAGTCAGCGCAGCTCCACAGCTCCCCGTTACGGAGGCCAGTCTGAACAGGGTCTCCATTACTTAGCACCTGGCTGTGAAGGCGGCTCATGAGGCCCACACTCGGGGCCCTGTGCACCCTGAGAGCGAGCACTCACTGGTAGTACTGGAGGACCGGCTCCGTCTCGGCCTCATAGGCCTTCAGCCTCTTGATGACCGTCTCCGGCCTGTCATCCTCGCGCTGGACAAGCGGCTCCCCAGTCACGTCGTCCAGGCCCTAGATGGGAATCAGGACAGAGTCCCCACATTAGAGCCAGTTTAAAGTAGTCTTAAACAGACGTCTTTACACAAAAACTATGCACAGGATTGTGCCGAGCTTTAAATCCCGAGATCAAATCCACTGCGCCTCAGAAGGAAAAGGCTTTGCAAGCGGCCTTGAGATGATCTCTTGTATATACAAAAACTCAGTCACAGACTGGGCATCTCACCTGCAACCTCGAGGGGGCTAGGAATTCTAGTAGGAGTGACACCTAGCACACCTGCTGGCAAAGGCAGGAAAAGAAGGGCGGGCTCCCCTGCAGGAACCCGGACCTATCGCACCCCAGTATAAAGGATCAGTGTGCTCAACTGCTCACAGAAAGGTGGGAGGCTCAAGTCCAACTAGAGGTGCATCTGAAGAAAGGGCTGGCACTCTTACTGCTGAAAAATCAGCCCCACACAACCCTACTGAGTTCAGCTCCAAACCGCCCCTTCCTGGGGTCCTGAATGGCACTGAGCTGACTGCTTGCTCCCAGGGCAGTTTTTCTGCCAAGGGCATGGCAGCCAGGCTAGCAGGCGGCATCCAGACCTGAGACTGAGCCCTGGGGAGTCCCAGTCAGGCGAGGGATAGCTGGTATCACAGAGCACATGCCTGCCAGGCAGGGAGGCAAGCCCGGGTACTCTGGGGAAGCCCCATCTGCCCCACCACGGCCTCTCACCACAGTCTTGGGAGGGTTGAACTCGATGTTGTAGACACGACCACTGGCCGGGTGAATCCAGCGGGCTGTGAGGCGCTGTTTAATGACCTCGAAGGGCACATTCAGGTTAATCACTGTGTCCAGCTGGTAGACCTTGTCCAGGGCTTCTGCCTGGGGAACCGTCCTTGGAAAGCCTTTGAAAACAAAGAGACAGAGAGAGGGAGAAAGAATGGTTACTGACAATCCCTCCTGGAGACCCACTCGTGAAAACCTGCCAGGAGACTATGAGTCATGACAGTGTGATCAGGTCGTGGGAACGGGACAGGTCCCGGCTATGCTGTGTTCACAGGGAGACCCTGCGGGCAGCTGCCCACAACTATGCGGACCATCTACTCTCAGGCAATGTGATGTTGTGGAGAGGTGCCCAAGTGGCCTCCCAGGTGCACCCGCAGTCCTCCTGCTTGCTGTCACTACAGGCCCTGGCAACACTGGCCAAGCTCACGTCTAGGTCACATGGCTCGCTCCCGTCTCCACACACATCCTATTCCTTCTGAGGAAGCGACCAGCCTGAATGATCCGTGTGTGCTGAGCCCCTGAGCAAGGGCCTAGAGAGTAGGAAAACCCCCCATCCCCCAAGTTTACCACCTAAGAACTGGCCCCACTCAGAGGTGACCACCTGGTCCTGCTCCTCTGCACACCTGCCACCAGGAACTTCCAGAAAGTTCCATGGGCTGTTCACCTCATCTAGGTTGCCAGCTCCAACAAGTAAAACGAAGCTGCGCTCTGCCTGCCCAAACCCTTCCTCTGTCCCTTCCTCCTGCTGCCTGCCCTGGGGGTGACCCACACGGAACCCCTGTGCCAGTCAGATGACAGTGTGCCCCCCTCAGATGCAAAACACGGTGACAGGGCTGCAGAGTGGGGGACACAGCAGCAGTGGGTGTCAGTACACACGTGTGTGTTCCTGTGAGCTGTATGTGAGCCACGTATTCACGTCTGTATTCATGTGCATACATGTGAATGACATATACGTGAGGTTGGGAGAAATGGAAGTGACTAACAGGCATGTATGAACGGGATTAGATAGGATGTCCTCTTCCAGAAAACAACATGTGACTCAGATAGTGAAGGACAGACTTCCTCCAGCTTAAAAAAATAAATCTCTCCTGCATCCCTTCAATATCAACAAAGTAAAAACTGGATCAGAAAACGCCACCTTATCACAAAGGATCCTGGCACCGGGCTGCCTGGGAAAGGCTACGGCTCCCAGCTTCTCCTGCTTCCCTTTCTCCCACTGTGGTGACGCTCCTTGTCATAACAGAACAAATTCTCAGAAGCGGAGAGGCAGAAATCAAGTCTCATCCCAAGTGGGAATTTACAAAGCACATGCGTGCTTCACCTCCTTCCTTTCTGGGGAAGCTGATCACATCCGGGGAAGGATAGAGCCAGGGCTTTAGGGCCCAGAGGCAGCACCCAGGGCTCCTGACTGCCCCCTTCTGATCATCTGCAGCCTATCCTCACTCATTCTCAGGCCAGCGGTGCTTGGCATCTTGGGCACCTCAAAAGGAGCCCTGGTGGCACAACTGTGGTGGTTAAGTGATTGGCTGCTCGTCAAAAGGCAGGCCATTCAAATTCAACTGGGGGCTCCACAGGACAAAGACCCGGTGACCTGCTTCCATCACAGATGAGGAAGCCCCATGGGCCGCTCGGTGCTGTCAGTGTTTCTATCGGCCTCGATGGCGCACCTCTGCTTACCATCCAACAGCCAGCTGCACTGGGTGAGGTGCTTCAGCTCATGGAGGACCAGCCGCGTCATGACATCATCCGGGATCAGCTTCCCTTGGTCAATGAAGGTCTTGGCTAGCACACCAATTTCTACAGGGGAGGGCACAGCAAATCAGCAGGTGCATTTATTTTATCCCATCCCAGGACCCTAGGAATTGGTCCCCTACAAGCTGCTCTGAGAACACGGCCATATGCAAATAAGCATTTTCAACTTTTGTGACAAAAACAGGGGTTAGAAAAGAACCCACATGACCTTGACGATGTAGAAATCCATCTGTGTAAAAGTACAGACCTTAGAATAAGCAGTCATTTAAGGTCAAAGGGGCAACATGTGCCCAAACACAAAGTTCCTAAGGCAGGAAACAACAGAGTCGAAGGATTAAGGGAAACCAGAATCATAAGCTGGAAGTGGGAAGAGCGTGTTACACTGTGGATATTGTCATTAATGTCATAAAACAAAATGTGCATGAATGATTGACCAGAAAACTGATCTGTTTGGTAAACTTACATTCAAATCACAACTGGGGAAAAAAGAACCAACAGAAAAGTCGAAATCAAAGTGAACAGCCATTGTCTCTGTGCTGGAGCTGAGTGTTTTTTACTTTTCCCAAATTTTCAATCGGCAGTTTGTAAACTTACAGTTCTCGGTTTTAGTTCTCCTTCCCCCATAAAGAGCCCTAATGGTGCAGAGCTCAACCACTGGGCTGCCAACCAAAAGATCAGTGGTTCAAATCTTCCAGCTGCTTGAGACGCACGGAGCCTTTGGAGCAGGCCTACTGTGCCCTCCAGCAACAACGTGTCGGATCTCACTTGATGGCAAGTCCTCATTTTATTAAAATTGTCTTCAAGGACTCCAGCTGTTGTTAGGTGCTGCCGAGTAGACTAAGACTCATAGACCTTATGAAGGATGGTGGATCTGAGCCCTGTCCTGGTTACGCACATTCATCGGAGTTAGATAGTGATCTGTTGTTCACAGCGTTGCTATGAGTCATACTCGACTCAGTGGCCCCTAACAACAAGAACACTGACGTGTGAAAGGTACTCTGGGGTCATAGTACATAAGGTAATATAGGCTGTTACCCAAAGGTCAGCAGTTCAAATCCACCAGCCACTCCCTGGAAAAGAAAGATGTGTAGTCTTTTCCTCTACAGACTTACAGCCTCAGAACCAGTGGCGGCTTACATGAGCTGAACAGACCTTACGACAGCTGAATTTAGGATTTAATATGTGAACGTGAAGTAAGGGAAACAGGCATCTAAAAGAATCACTTACAGAGCAGAATACAGCTATTTTGCAAACACATACTAATACAATAAAGAGGGGGGAAATGGCTTATCAAAGAGCACACTAATTTGCTCTGTTGTTTTTGTGTACCCGAATCAGAACCGACCCATAGCTGCCCCTCCAGCAAGTTTTCAGAGGCAGTAATCACACAGGAGGAAACTGCCCATCTGTCTCCCACAGAACAACTTGTGGGTTCGCATCGTGCACCTCTGAGTTGGCTGTGCAATTCCTTACCACTAAGCCACCTTCATTTTCTTAATATTCTTATAACAGATGTTTTCTTCCTTTGCAATAACTATACTATACTTTTTACCATCAGAAATCATGTTGTTTCGGGGGGAGTTTTTTTAATTTATTATTATTGTGTGTGTGTGTGTGTGTGTGTGTGCGCGCGCGCGCGCGCGCGCGCTGTCAAATCAGATCTGACTGGTACAGGAGGAGATTGCTCCTCCTTCTCCAGCAGAGCATCTGGTGGATTCTAACCCCATACCTCAGGGATTGCAATGCAGCTTCTTGCGACTAGGCCACCAGAGCGCCCTTTAAATGTTGTTTTAAAAAGAAAAGATGACGCCCATCCCGTGGGGAAAAATCTATTCCATTTACAAATACAGGCATGTCCCAGAGAAAGGCAGGTTCAGGTCCAGAACAACCACAATGAAAAGAACGCTGAGTCACGCGAATTGTTCGTTTCCCAAAGTGTGTACGAGTCAGACTACAATGCAGTGGCTAAGTGCGCAGTAACAGCAACATGAAAACATCTGAGACACCGCAAGCATGACCAGAGTGGAACAGAGTCCTCAAGTCAGCTCATACTATTAGATAAAAAATGGCCCCATAGACTTCATCAGCACAGGCTTGCCATGACGCTTCTTCCATTTGTGGAAAACACACTATCTGTGAAATGCAAACAAGGCAAAGCCTTGTTCTGTATGTGCTGAGCACAAACGCTTAATCCTGAGATCCAGAACATCTGTAATAACCTCAGCACAGCCCCCAAGCAGGGTTTTGTTTTGCTAGTTATGGAACTGACATAAAGATTCCAGAATGGGCAGGCGCCCCAGCCAGTTAAACCTCTCTGCCACCTTTCCCCGCCCCCTCCTCTGATCCCAGAGCAGGCGGAAGAGGACCAGTGCCAAGATCTTTTTTTTTTTAAGTTTTATATTTTTGTTAAAATATCTTGTATTTTATGACGTTAATGGATCCTTGGCTTTTCATGGAAGCTGCTTCCTCCCAGTGGTTATTTTTCAAAGAATTCCTGGGATGCTTTCACCCCTGGGGCTGTGGGCTCTGGACAGCCTTACCCCCGCCCCCCCCCCCAGCCCTGGGAGCAGCAGCTGAAGCTACTACCCCAATGCTTGTATGTGCTGCATCAACAACAGTAAGCACGCCAGCCAAACAACGTGACCTTTTAAAAGTTTAGTTAATGAAAAACCACTCCATTCTTTTTAAGACCAGTGTGAGCAGAGATAAAGCCCAGTAGCACTGTGCCAAAATGGGTGCAGAACCAAAGAACTCCAAGAGGTAATTTGGGCACACTGGACCAAATTCTTAGAGAAAAACACCTGGGAACAACCTAACTGTCCATCCACAGGGGATCGGATAAATCAATCACAGTAGAGTCAATACAGAGCTCCTGTGGCCTAGGGGTAAAGAGCCGCACTGCCTACCCAAAGATAGGCAGTTTGAATCCACTAACTCCTCCCTGGGAAAAAGATGGGCCATCATCTCTCCCATGTGATTTACTGCCTCTGAAAACCTGCTGGAGGGTCTGACTCCACGGAACATGACTACAGCAATAGATTAAACTGAATGAAGTGAATTTCTGTGCCTTCACGTTCAAAGATATCCCAAATAAAGGTAAGACCAGCAGGGCAGAATATACATTAAAAACAAAAATTAAAACAAAAACACCTAAACCAAGCCTGATGCTGTGACACAGGCCTGGCTCCTGGCAGCCACTTGTGCAGAGTTCTCCCTGGCTGACACCCCAGAAAGCAGATTCCCAGGCCTTTCTTTCAAGGTTCTTCTGGGTGGGTTCAAACCATTAATCTTTTAGCTGTCAGTTGACTGCTTAACCTCTTCTGACACATGGAGACTGACGATAGCTCTATCTGTAATTACATAGTGCATAAAACAAAGGATATGTATGTATATGCTGGTGCATAAATCAACATTTCTAGAAAAATGTTCCTCTTTAAAAAATACACAGAATGAAGGCATTTTACTTTGCATTTTATGCACTCTGTCCTGTTTCCAACCCTTCTATTCTGTGCCAAATATTACTTGCAAAATTTTCTTCTTTAGTAGTTTCTAAATGTTGTCTGGGGGGAAGGAAGGTTAACACTTTTGAGAAAAACCAAAACAACTCATCCACTGTAGACCTTTTTTAAAAAAAAACAGGTTTCCTTTTTTTTTTTAAAGAAGCAGTTAATTTAGTAATTATTTTAATTTTGTCCTGAGTTTTTTTCTTTTTTTTAAATTAATTTTAATAAACATTTACAGAGATTTTGGATCTCCATTCATTCACTGCTGCACCCCTCTCTCTGCCCACCCCTCCCCACCAGTTTGCTACCCTCTCCGAAAAGAAAAAAAACCAAACAAAACCAGGTTTCCTAAAGTAGACGAGCTCTGGTGGCCTAGTGGCAAGAAGCTGCACTGTGATCCCAGAGGTTGGTGGTTCGAATCCACCAGATGCTCTGCTGGAGAAGGAGGGGCAATCACCTCCTGTACCAGTCAGATTCGATTTGATGGTACACACACACAAAATTAGATTTTTTAAAAAATTTAAAAAAACCTAAAGTACTATCTAGACACTCCAACATTGGCTCATTGTGGTTTGAGAGTTTGTGCTGAACCTCACATAACAGAAACAGACCACACACAAAAATAGCTTCTATGTCGGAGAAATCTCTAGGAGCATGGAAAAAACCCAAATCAAAACAAAAAAATGTCAAAAGCGCCCGGTGGCACAATGGTTGAGTCATAAATTGCTGACAGGTCAGGGGTTCTAACCCACCAGCTGCTCCGTGGAAAAAAAGGTGTGGTCCTCTGTTCTGTGGGGATTAAGCCTTGGAAACCCGACGGGGCAGTTCTACCTTCTGAGGGTCGCCGACAGTCTAAATCCCAGGCAGTGAGTTTATGTTTTGTTTCGAATAACAAAAAAAATCAAAGGAAATTTTGCAATGGTAATAATTCTAAGTAAATCCTCCTGCTTTAGATTACTGGAGAAAAAAAATCAGACTACAAAATCCCATAGATCTCAAGCCGAACGGAGAAGAGAAATGGACAGCTCCCTGGAGCAGGGTCACAGCGAGGACAGGCCACAGTCCACGGACCCCTGGGGCGGCTGCAGCCAGGGCTGCCAGTCTTTGCAAACAAGCCAATTGGTTTCCTCTAATCGCTGAACTTCGAGCAGGTCCTGCTCTCAAATGCCCTGCCCTAATGACCCACACGACGCTGATCCGAGGCCAGAAGTTTAGAAGCGCAGGCGCTCAGCAGCCCGTGGTCACTGCGCCCGTACCCCCAAGACTTCCCCATGAGCTCGTCAGCATTCTTCCGCACGCACTCCCGCTCCTACACCCCCGAATCTGCATCCCGGAGCCGCCTGGCCCCACCTGTGCCCCGCAGCATGTTGTCCCGGAGCAGGTCCCCGCTGGAGAGGTGCTTCAGCTCGAAGTGCTTCACGATGCGCGACGACACGGTGCCCTTGCCAGAGCCAGGGGCCCCCATGATCGCGGCGCGCAGCAGCCGCGCGGACGCCCCCATAGCCGCTGGCCGAGGGCGCGCAGGCCGCACTGGGCCTCGGCCGAAGAGCCCCGCGGTGACCGCAGCGGACCCGCCGGCGCTCCCGGAAGTGAGGCGGAGAGCCGCACCCCGCCCGGCCGGCGGGACACCCCGCCCGCAATCGTCCCGTAATCACCCCGCGCCCGCGGCCACGCCCACCTTATAATCACCCGGCCCCCGAGATCGCCCGGCCCCGGAATCACCCCAGGCCTGCGGCCACGCCCCCGAGATCGCCCGGCCCCGGAATCACCCCAGGCTTGCGGTCACGTCCCCATCTCATAATCACCCCGCCCCTGAGATCGCGCGGCCCTGGAATCACCCCAGGCCCGCGGCCACGCCCCCACCCCGGGATCGCCACGCCCCCGAGATCGCCGGCCCCGGAATCACCCCAGGCCCGCGGCCACGCCCCACCACATAATCACCCGGCCCCCGAGATCGCCCAGCCCCGCCCCCATCCGGTCATCATCCCGCCCTGTAATCACCCCCGTCTCCGAGATCGCCCCATCCCCGGAGTTCTCTCTACTCGGTCATCATCCCACCCAACTCCCCGAAATCGCCCCGTCCCATCAGTGTGCCCTGCAATCATTCCGCCCCACGTGGTTACCGTGATCCACAATTACCCCTGTGGGACAGTCGCCTGCTTTACGGTCATCCCGCCCCCCAAACGCGCACCTGCCCACTCGCGCTTTCACCCCGTCCTGCCCTGCACACGCTCCAGTTATCATCTTGCCGCTGCTATCACTCTACCCGTGGTACTTTCACCGCCACCTGGCCTGTGCCCCGTGGTAGCCCCGCCCCTCAGCTGCCAAGCCCCGCCCTGACGCCGCTTCGCCTCCGGCCGGCCCAACCCCATCCTTGGCTCCACCCCGCGCACGCGCTCGCCGGGAGTTGCCGTTGCTGGGCCCCGCCCCACGCCGCACGTGTCTGTCAGGTCCCGCCTCACGCCGCACGTGTCGCTCTCAGGGCCCGCCCCGCGTCGCCCGTCTCCCCCCAGGCTCCGCCCCACGCGGCACGAATTCTTTCCAGGCCCCGCCCCCCACTTCATGCGTTCTTTCCCAGGCCCCGCCCCACCCCGCACGCCGGCCCCCCCCCTCAGGCCCCGCCCCACGCCTCACACGTTCTCTAGGCTCCGCCTTCTGCTGCTTTCTGCTCTGCACGTCCTTGTGTTTACTGGTCCCCAGTCCCGGGGTGTATCTACCTCAGCCTCACCTTACGTTCCTGCAGATTTCAAGTATATTTGTCCTTGTAGTCTCAGGGCTGACAAAGCCGGCCTGCTCCTTTCACGGGTGAGAATGTCGAAGAGTGAGCTGTTTGAAGGCTCGCGTCTCCTTAAACCTACCTCCCAGGACCACGCTCCAGTCCCAAAAGCAGGGTCACTGCTACTGTGCGAAGTCACAAAACACAGTCTCCTCCTCAGACTTTGCTCTTTGCAGGGTGGAAGGTGTTTCCAATGTCTTTTACATTCATTGCCAGTTTTGCCCTTGGAATACATTAATTTCTGCTACTTGGTAAGTTCGAACTCCCTTTGTGACTGTACCACGGATGAAAGGCCTGGCTTTCTGCTTCTGTAAGTAGACCATGGAACTCATCTAATTACACAGATTTGACCAAGAAAACCCTGGGAGCACAGAACTATCTAACATATGCGGTCACCTTGCGTTGAGCAGTGATTTGGGGGGAAAGAGGGGCAGATCAAGAATGTTTTAGATCTGGGCATCCAGGAGCCTCTGAAGAGATTATGTTTACTTAAATACTGACCTAGCAGGTAGGCAAAAGTGACTCGGGCATAAGGGGGAAAGACTTCTAAACGAAATGGTGGACATTTTCCAGGAATTGAAACACTTAAATATTTGAGTACTGATTTCATCTATACAATGGGCCCAGATGCGTGTTAAGTTTGGCAGTTGTCGTAGAATTCAGAGTCTGGTAAAGATTATCCATTTGTTATTTCTTTGTGCTAAAGGTCTAAGGTAAGGCACGAAGAACATTAGCTGAAAATGAACAACTGTACCACACTCACTCCTCATAAATTGGCCAGTGACCTGTCCAAAATACTTCTGATTTGAGAAGAATTAGAGAATTATGTGTGAATGGAATGGAGAAGGAAGACTGATTAAGGGGCTGAATCTGAGATGTCGAGTGGCCAGGGGATTTCAGCAGATGGAAAGCTCTGAACTTAGAAAATGACTAATACATTTTCATGACTGGCAAAATCTATTAAGTAACCAGATTCAAATGGAGATTTATAACTTAAACCCACATAGGACTCAATGGGATAAACAACTAGTAAAATGCTCCTGTAAAGATGACAAAGGAAACCTTGTGGTTCTGTCCCTCCCTATCACATGACACCCCTGAGTCAGAATCAACTTGAAGACACTCAGTAACAACAGTCACCATTAAGCAAGAGGAAAAAATGAATATTCAATTTATGTAATTAGAAAAGGAATAAAAAAATCTCAAGTAATACAAAGGAAGAAATTAGATAATAAATAAGATTTTCAAACAAGAGCCAAAACTGACAAAAGAATGAAATTGCCTAGATAAATGCTTGTCTGTGAGATGCAGAAAGCCTGACCATGGAGAGAAAGGACTTGCAATCTCTGAAGCAGGAACTTTTCTATTTCAACCCTCAAATTTCAATTTAAAGAAAATTGAAAGAGATGGAACAATAGGAACAAGGAAAAGTTTTTGCTTATAAGAAAATGTTCAAACAAAAAATGACATAGAAATCACCATGGCGCTGCGGAGGAAGCTGTCCTGTAGCCTCATCAACGTGCCCCCAAAATGCCAACTAACTGCAGCTTTCCTGATTATAGATGAGTAAGTGACTGAAAAAAAATAGAAGAAAGTATCCAAGCTTTGATTTGCAGTACTGAAGGATCCTATGGGCAAAATATTAACACAGGAAGCATTTAAAAATATGTGGAAGACACACACCATCATTGTACCTAAAAGAATTGGTCAATGCACCATAATTTCGGGCGGGGGCATATGATTAAGAACCACTGGTATTGAAGGAAGAAGTCCAAGCTGCATGGAAGGCATTGTCAAAAAACAAGGCTCTGGAAATTGACGGAGTATCAAGTGGAGGTGCTCTTTTGTTTATGCCAAGAACTTCGGAAGTCGGTTATGTGTTTAGTGAATGGGAAGAAATCCATATTGTGTTCATTGCAAAGAAACATCATCCAACAGAATGAAGAAATTATCCAACAATGCCATTAATATCACATGCAAATAAACTTTTGCTAAAGATAATTCAAATGTGGTTGCAGTAGTACACCAACATAAAATTGATACAGGCCATGGTCTTTGCAATCACTTGCTATGTGTCAGAGAGTTGGACAATGACTAGGGAAGATAGAAAGAAAATTGATGCCTTTGAGCTGAGGTGTTAGAGAAGAGTATTGAATACACCGTGGACTGCTAAGAGAACAAACAGCTTCATCCTGGAAAGGGTTAAGCCAAGCTGCTCCTTGGCGGCAAAGATTCTGAAGCTGCTTCTCACATACTTTGGATATGTTGCAAGGAGGGACCAGTCCTTGGAGAAGAACATCTTGCTTGGGAGGGTGGAGGGACAGCGCAGGAGAGGAAGACTCTCTATGAGGTAGATTGGTTCAGTGACTGGGGTAATAGGAGTAGGTGTGTTGGAGACAGTGAGATTGGCACAGGATAGGGCCTAGTTTAGGGCTGTTGTACATAGGGTCACTATGAGTCATGCTCGACTCAAAGGCAATCCTCATCAACAACAACAACATAGATTGCAAAGGTGTGGTAACATCCCTTTATTCTGTTCAAACAATTACCTCTTGTTCAGTGTATAGGTTTCACGGGAGCACAGTGAAATATTCTAGAACTTCTATTCTTCAAAATGATATTGGTAAATTGTTATGATCCAAGTGAAATGCTTTTGCATAGTCAGTAAAACACAGATAAGCATCTTTCTGATACTCTGAATTAAATAGGATGCATCTGATATTGGCAATGATTCCCCCTTTCCATGTCTTCTAAATCCTGTTGTTATGTGCCATCAAGTTGCCTGCGACTCATGGTGACCCTATGAACAAAAAGCCTGAAGCCCCTCTACAACTATCAACATTTATCAAAGTTCATAAAATTTCTGGAGGCATGTTATTTAGGAAGTGGATGCCACTCCTGCTTCCAAACCGGTCATAGTATGTTATTGTTGCAAGTGACTCAATGGTATATAACAAGCTTCTAATAAGAGTTTATAAATTCCCAATAGTACTTTATGAATATGATTTATTCTGTTCTCATTGTATCTACTATAATTTTTTATGAAACTAAATTTGTATTTGTGTATATATTGAACAGATAATCTGGAGGCTGGGCTCTATGAGGAGGAATGTGGTAGCAGGATTGGGGAAAGACTCCTCAACAATCTGTATTATGCAGATGACAAAACCTTACTTGCCAAAACTGAGGAGGACCTGAGGCATTTGCTGCAGACGGTCTAGGACTGCAGCCTTCAATATGGATTGTAGCTCAACATCAAGAAGACAAAGAGTATCACCATTGAGACGACTGGCAGCATCATGATGGATGGTGAAGAGATTGAGATTGTTAACAGTTTCTGCTTGCTTGCTTTACAATCAACACTCTTGGTACTAGCAGCCAGGAAATCAAAAGATTAATTGCATTGAGAAAATCTACTGCCAGGGACTTCTCCAGAGTACTGAAGAGTAATGATGTCAATCCAAAGACTAAGGTGCACCTGATCCTCATCTTGGCAGTTACTTGCTGTGCATCAGAGAGCTGGACAATCAATGACTAAAGATGATAGAAGAAGAACTGATGCCTTTGAGTTGTGGTGCTGAAGAAGAGTATTGAACACATGATGGACCACTAAGAGAACAAATAGATTCATCCTGGAGAGGGTGAAACCAGGCTGCTTCTTGGAAGCAAGGATTTTTAAGCTCTGTCTAGCATATTTTGAGCATGTTTCATGGAGGGACCAGTCT